GAGGAAGGAGAAAGAAGAGGAAGAGGAGGAGGAAGGAGAAGAAGAGAAGCAACTTAAGGAAGGTTTATTTTGGCTCACAATTTCAATCGAGTCCACAGTAATGGGACAGGGATGATAGCCAGAGCAGCTCCATCTGTGGTAGTGGGAATTTCTTCACATCTCTGTGGATCAGGAAGCAGCGGGACAGAAGGAGGCTCCAGCTCCATCTCCATCAGCAAGATCCAGCACCCTGCCCCTCCCCCAACCAGTACCACGAGTTGAGCACAGTCAAAATACATAATCCTGTGAGGGACATTTCACATTCAAACAAATCGTAACAACTAATACTTTAAAGGCGTGATGGAGGAGCAATGACTCAGTGGTTATGAGTGTGCTGTTGTTCTGTTTTTACTGTTTGCTTTCTTTGGAAGCAGGGTCTTGGTTGGCCTGGTAGTCACTATGTAGACAAGGCTGCCTCTGCCTCCCAAGTGCTGGGATTAAAGAGTGTACTGCTATGTGTACTGTTTTTACAGAGGACCTGAATACGGTTCCCAGCACTTAACATGGGATGGCTGCCTGAATCATCTCTAGACCCTGAGCATTCATGTGAGTACACACACACACACACACACACACACACACACACACACACACACAGGGGTGGGGGGACAAAATAAGTCTTGAGACAAAGCAGGAGTGGGGCTGGAGACATGGCCCAGCAGTTAAGAATACCAGCAGATCCCCTAGAGGTCCTGCAAGCACATGGTGGCTCGTAACCATCTCTAATGTGATGGGATGCCATATTCTATCATGCAGGTATACACGCAGATAGAGCACTCATGTACATAAATCTTTAAAAAGAAAAAAAAACAGGAACCATAGGGAAAACAAAAACTCACAGGTTAGTTATAGTGAGGCTGTGGGAAACTTGGACCCTGCACATTGGTAGAAATGTAAGGTGGTAGGACCGCTGGAGGTTGGGGGGGGGGATCACATAACGGCTCTTCGAGGAGTATACTTCAACTAGCAGGCAGGGGAAGCTCAGTGGAAAATTACTTGCTGTGCAAGCATGAGAACCCAAGTTCCATCTCCAGCACCCATTACATGCCAGGCATAAGAGTACAAACAAACCTGTAACCACAGTTTTGGGTTGGTGGAGACAGGAGAATGTTTGGGGCTTGCCAGCTAACCAGACTACCCTGTGAGTTCCATGTTCAATGAGATCTGAGCTCAAAAGATGGCTCAGAGGTTAAGAGCACTTACTGCTCTGGCAGGAGACTGGAGTTCTGATCATAGCAATCACATGAAGGTTCACACCTGTCTGCAACTCCAGTTCCGGGGTATCTGATGCCCTCTTCTGGCTTCTGCTAGCACTGCAGAAGTCCTGGGGTGGATATGTTTAAGATATAGCATATACATGTACAAAACTATCAAAGAATACATTTTGAAAATCTAATTTTGACAAAAAAGATGAATTAAACATTTTCCACTCTGTAAAGTACATGGAATAGTTGACTTTACAGAGGTAGGAAAGAGGAACAGGATGCTATTTACTGGTTATAGAATTGTAGTTTTTATCCAGTTGTGGTGGATCATACCCGTTATCCTAGCACTTAGGAAGCTGAGGCAGAGAACTACTGTGATCCTGACCATACACGGACTACAATGAGTTTTACACCAGCCTGTCCTAGAGTGAGATCTGGCCATAAATACAAAACAGGTTGAAAGATGGCACAACAGGTAAAGCACTTGCAACATATGTATGCATAAGGACTAGAGTTCAGATCCTCAGAATCCCCAGCAAAGATGACTGGTTACAGCAGCTTGACTGCAATCCCAATGGGCAAGAAGCAGAGACAGGGAATATCTGGAGAAAGCGGGCTAGCCAGACAGTATGAGTTCAGCAAGATTCTGTTTCAATAAATAAAGCAGGCAGTGATTGAAGAAAGTCACTCAATGCCAACCTTGGGCATCTGTTGGGAACATAGTCATAGACAGCACTGAGAAAAATGGGAATGTTAAATATGCAAGTTGTCCTTTCAAGGAAAAGATGTAGAACCTAGTTTCTGCCCAGAAGGCTGGAAACTGAGGTGCTGACAACCTAAGTAATCCTTGTGCTATTGGTAGGCTCAGACTACAAGCTCCCACAAACAGGACAGGAGGCAATGACAGTCGAGGTGATCTTTGCCTTACCTATGTGACCAAGGGCTCCTCCAAGAAAGATCAGAGAAACTTAATAGCCTAGGGGACCTCTGTGTTATCTGGTCTGGCTAGGGGCTCCAAGATCCCACAACCAGGATCAGCGGTGGCTAATAACCCACATGAGCTGAGTACTATCTGTATGACCAAGGCCACACCAGATCCTCCCCTAGGCCCAAAATACATGTAACTTATCTCTAAAACCCATCTTCATGGATGTGGCATGTACTTTGAGAAGTGCTGTGATGGAATAATGCCTCCTTGTGTACAAAGGATTGTGTTACACCTGCAAACTTTTGTTTTCAAATTGTACAAATTAAATCTGCCTCACATAAACCGCTCAGGGTCAGACTGTAGAAGTCTGAACCAGCACTGGCTACAGCTGAGTTGTGTTGAACCTGATTTCCTTCTTGTTTCATGTGGATCGTTACTCTGATGGCCCTGGTGTCTGCAAAGACCCTCACAGGCCTCAACATGCAGGATACACATGCACCAAAGTCTATACATGTGAACACAATGCACATATGCATGTACACCACACACATATATCCATAAAAAGGTTTATTAAAAAAAAAAGCACTTTTCAAGCCTGATAACCTGAGTCCCTTACAGTGGAAAGGAAGAACACACTTCTTGCAGTTGTCCTTTGGTCTCCTCTTGAGGACTGTGTCATGGCCCCAAAAGACGTGCTGCAGTCAAGAAGGAGCTGAACTTCTGATCCTCCTGTCTCCACCTTGCAAATGTTATTATACTAGCATGCCAAGTGGTTTTTTTTTTTTAAGGTTTATTTATTTTTATATGAGCACACTGTAGCTGTTTTCAGACACACCAGAAGAGGGCATCAGATCCCATTACAGATGGTTGTGAGCCACCATATGGTTGCTGGAAATTGAACTCAGGACCTGTGTAAGTGCAACCAGTGCTCTTAACCGCTAAGCCATCTCTCCAGCCCCCTCATACCAAGTTGATATTAAGTCCTGGAGATTGTACTCTACTGATCTACACCCCTCAGCCCAACTTTAGTTTTTTGTAACAGGGTCTAACAACATATCCTAGGCTGTCCTGGAATTCACAATGAAGGTCAGGCTGGCCTGACCCCTCTGCTTCAGCCCCTCACGTGCTGGACTACAAGCACTCATCAGACTTACCAACTCCTGTGTTCTAAGGTATCAGTTGCAATGAGTGTAGTAATGCTTTCCTCCTGAGCTCCTGCAGGGATGTCACGGACATGGGATTCATGCCTTTGCCATCCATCACTAAAAGCACAGTGTGGACAAAGTAGTAGAGGCAGGTGTTGGACCTCATCATGTGTTCTGACGTGGAAGCCCAGACGTGGGAAGTGGCCTGTCAAGATCACACCGCTGATGAGAACCACCCCTAAGTTCTTCCTTCCTACTATACACCCATCCGAAGTTGCCTGTCACCTCCAAGGTCCCTCTATCCTCACTTCTTTCTCTGACAGTGTGACTACTGTGGCTGTGTTCCCCAGAAAGCTGTCTTGCTGAGGACGTGGCTCAATAGTGGAGTGCTTGCCTAACATGCACAAAGCCCAAGATTCTGTCCCCAACACTACAAAGATGTACTCATGTTAGTTCTAACTTGAGAGGAAAACTGTAAGTTTAAGGGCATCTTCAGCTACACAGTGGGTTCAAAGACTGCCTGGGCTACCAGATGAATGGGGGTGGGGCAGGTAAAAAGGTTGGTAAAATGCTTGCTATATAAACATGGGGACCTGAATTTGATTCCCCAGAACCCACATAAAAGAGTCAGGCATGGTAGCATGTGTTTATAGTCCTACTCCCTGGGGTTCACTGCTCAGCTCCCTCCCTCTCCCTCACACCCCCCACACAGTGAGGAGAGCTGGGACATGATCAGGCAACAGGCCTTGAACCATGGGGATTAATCAAGATGCTTGCTTGAGGGGCTGGCTGAGGCAAGAGAGCAAATTTGAGAGTACCATGGGTTATGGGTTACATGAGAAAATCCTGTCTGAAAAGACACAGGTAAGAAGGGCTGGAGCAGCAAATGACTCGGCAGTCAAGAGTGCTTGTTATGGGCTGATATGAGTTCAAGGCCAGCCTAAGTTACAAAGTGAGATCCTGTATCTCAAAAAAATACATACATACATACCTACATGCATACATACATGCACACACACACACACACACACGGATGGGGAATGGAGAAATTACTTGAATACATGCTTTTGCCAAGTGGTGGTGGCACACACCTTTAATCCTAGCACTAGGGAGACAACGGCAGGCAGATCTCTCTGAGTTCGAGGCCAGCCTGGTCTACAGAGCTAGTTCCAGGACAGTCAGGGCTATACAGAGAAACCCTGTCTCAAAAAATCAAAAGGGGGTTGGGGGGGGCGAGGGAGAGGCAGCTCACAACTGCTTGTAATCCAGATCCAGAAGATTGGACACCTCCAACCTCCACAGGTACTTTCACTCGTGTACATACCTACACACAGATAAATACAAGTTCACATAATTCAATGTGTGTGTGTGTGTGTGTGTGTGTGTGTGTGTGTGTGTACTTGCTGTGCAACCATGGGAACCAGGATTTAAATCTTATAAGCTCTGCCTCTGAGGAGGGCAAAGACCGTGGAGAATCTGCAAGCCCCAGGTTCTGGGAAGACTCTGCCTCAGACAGGTGGAAAAAGATATCCTCTTCTGATGTCAGTGGGAGCACACAAGTTCACATATCTGTACACACATGTATATCCACTCAGACCTAAATCATCTTTTTTTCTAAAAGCCATGCTTGCTGTTAGAACTGTCATCATCCCCCTAAACGTTCCTCCCAAATAATGGTGACACTGATGTTCCAACACTGGCTTTACTTAAACAGCTAGAACTAGATTTGGAGCAGTGTGAAGAGGCAAGTGGATAGGAAAGGCTGACTGGGAAGAGGAAGTGGGTGGGCATGGCGAGGGGAAGACGGGTTGGGTTGAGGGTCCTGGAATCTAAAATCAGAAGCCAGGGAAGGCAGCTTGAAATCAGTGGCAGATTTGAAATTCTGCCAACAGTATACAGATGTTTAAGATGGCCACATATCTGTCGGCATATGACTGGAAACATTCACTTGCCAGGCTGGGTCAGTGTGGAAAGCCAAGGTCCTTATGGGAGGGGATAGCAGGCTGTCTGGGTCCTGCATTAGTGGGTTTTGAGCCCTGGGTTCCTGAGGGCTGACAGGGTGAGGAGGAGCTGGGCTGCATAGTAGGTGCTCATGGTCACTAGACGGGCAAAAGGCAAAGAGGAGACGAACGTGTCCCAGGCCAGCACACCATCTGAGAATAAAAAGAGCACTGCGCCCCAGCCAGCACTTCCACCACAGACAAGGCCACGCCATACCATGGAGTTCAAGATCAGCCCATAGGCTGACACTGGCAAGACCATGTCCGGCTCAAGATGTAGCAGGAGGAAGCTGTAGTATGTCAGAGAGGCCAAGGTGGTGCACAGCAGCAATCCGGGCTGCAGTGGGGACAGGCCAAAACCCCAGAGGTAGAGTAAGTGGGCAACAGAGAAGGCTGCCATGCCTGAGGGAGAGAGGGATAGAAACTCAGTGAGGTAGGGGTGGGTAACCAGCGAGGCACGAGTTGGCCTCCTGCTTCTCACTGTTGTCTTGGCCATCACTAGACATGAAGAACATGTCCCCAAAGCACCAGCTCCCCAATGGCCACGGCATCGTCATGCTCTGCTGATTATAGCACCCTTTTTTTTTTTTGATGAGTCTCCAATTTCTTTTTATCCTTGGCTGTTCACTGAGTTCTCAAAGCAATGGCAATGACCTTCAAATTCACAGCATCATGTACTTGCTTTGCTCAAGTGTCTGTCAACCCAAATCCTGTTCTGGGAAGCCCCATACCCTTGTTTTACCCACTATCCTACTCTAGTCAAACTGGCCCATTTGAGCAAAATAACTCACATACTATTACCCCAGGTCCTTTCCACACACTAGTTCCATACCCAGGATGGTCACTCTTTCCATGTACACACACTTACCCTTATTCCTATAATCCTAGCCCTTGAGAAAGCTATGGCAGGAAGAGCCAACGTTTAAGGCCATTTAGACCAGCCTGGACTATATAGATGTTTCAATAATGACTCCCTACCACCCCCACCCACCTCAGCCATGCTGTATCTTAGTTTTCTCCACACCAGCCCTTCCAACCAGGTAATCCCACATCTTCAAACCAAACAGTCTGACCACAAGCCCCTGGCTGAACTGACAGCTCCCCTACCACTCATCACTGCCTTCTGGTATCTCAGGATGACAGCCTGGTTCAACCCAGGGGACCTAGGGAAGGCTCCTTATAATGAAAAGCTGTGTCCCAGCACTGACTCAACTCAAGAGCCCTAGGTGTGTTGTCATGGGATTCCCTCCTCACCATAAAAGAAAGCTTCAGGCCAGATGAGGCAGGCATCTCCCACAGAAGAACACACAAGAGCTCCCTGCAGGAGCCAGGTGTAGCTCCCACCAGGGGCCACAGCCCACAGGAACACAACCAGGCAGAGAATAGGCTGGCACTTGATCAGGGCACTGACCCAAGATGGCTGGTCCACAGGAATCCAGAGGAGGAAGTAGAGGGAGCAGGCGAGGATGAAGGGGACCAGCCACCTTCGGACCTGTGGGTACTTCAGAGAGGGACGCTGCTCAGCCTCCCACTCTCACCCAGCCCTGGGGTAAGGGGTCATAGCAAGGCATGACAAGAAAAGTCTAATTCCAGTACTTTGGAGGTGGAAATAGGAGGCTGATGAATTCAAACCTGATCTAGGATACATAGAACTATTTTAACAGCTATCCCCCACACCACCCTCATGCCAGGACTCAAGTGTGTCCAGGTTGAACTTTCTGGACTAGGATCTGTAGCCACCTTGAGAACCTTCTCATTCATGTCTCCTGCAAGGACAAAACCATGATACCTTAAATCCCAGCCTCCTGGAAGGACAGGGGATGCCCAGCAACTCACCAAGCAAAGAGAACCACAGGCCCCAGGGCTGCCCACGTTCCTGACCCCACCCCCACCTTACAGGCTCTCACTTGGTCTGAAAACAGTGTCTCCAAGGGCAGCCCCTCTTTTCTAGCATCCATGTTGAGTCACTTCTCTTTAGGAACAAGTGGCTTCAGAGGGCAGAGGGGAAGCCTTGTGGTTACACATTAACCCAAGTGTCCTGTGGACTCTGCGGCTGATAACAGGGCTCACTCAAGGCTTGTTCTTGTCTGGCACTTGCTGATAAGGTGTCCATGAGGACAAGAGTCCCTCCACCCTCCAGCCCGTCCCCAGCACTTAGAAACCTGGCCACCACCTCCCTTATAGGCTGGCAAAAGTGAGCCCCCTCCCCCCAAGTGGAGCTCCCATTGTCTCATGCCCAGCAAATCAGAAGAGACAGACAATGCAAGGTTCCACAGAGGGGAACCCCCACAACCAACCCTGGAGAACAAGGACCGGTTAAATAAATCCTGTAGTGTGCCTGAAGTCACTCAGACACTTCCTGGAAGGATGATCATTCCACGGTACTCACTGTTTTGCAGCATTCCCATGTAGAAGACTGGGACCTACTGGATGCCAGGAACTACCAGGTTCCTCAGCATCCCCTCAGATGATGCTTCGTTGTGTGTCCATTCTCAAGGCAGCTTCCTGTCTCCTAATCTCTCCCATACTTTTCTGTTTTTGAGACAGGGTTTCTGCCCAGCCCTGGCTGTCCTGGAACTTGGTTTGTAGACATGGCTGGGCTTGAACTCAGAAAGATCCACCTGCCTCTGCCTCCTGAGTGCACCACCACCACCACCATGCCTGGTGCCTCCTATCCCCTTAATGGCAGGAAGCTCAGCTCCAAGGTCCAGGGACCTCTTGCTCTTTTTAGCAAGTCTGTTAGAGGATAGAGGTAAGGGGGCTGTGAGCTAACTCAGCACAGCCCTACCTGATCTGCTTTTCAGAACAGGGCCAAGGGAGTATACACATCAGCATGAGAGAGCCCCAAAGTGCTAACTCGACAAGACCAGTGCCCTTTTCCTGATGGTCTTGCCTGGTGTATGAGCATTCCCCATCCCCCACACCCACACCCACTCTCACAAGTGAGGTCCTAAGAGAATGTAACTCTCTCTAGACCATGGAGAGCATGTTCACCCAACTCTTGAGTCCCAGAACTCAAAGTCCCACACCAGGAATCTTCTGCTTTCTTCCTTTATTTATATTTGCAGTATGAAACACAAGCTCTGCACACACACTTGTACACTCAGACCAGCCTGGGGGAGGGAGCTGGGACAAGGCCACTTGGCAGCAGTGCTGGAACCCTCAGGGCATGGGGTACCCAGCATCCCCCATTCTGGGCCTCTGGGGATGTTGCCAGGGAGGCCCTGTTCCCCAGGGCCAGGGGCCAGATGACTGGTCAAAGTGCAAGGTCTGGACAAACACATGGCCATACGGGCCTGATGCCCTCTGTTACACCTCAAGGTGGTCCTGAGTGAAAGGCTGGTATGAGCATCTGCACCAGAGCATGGGTCAGCGGCCTCAAAGCCCAGCGGCAGCCCGTACCGGGACAGACGGGGAGGTTGTGCCTCAGAGCTGCTGGCCCAGTTACTGTCCTGCCTTCCTTTCTTTCTCCTCCCTCAATATATATATGCATATATATATATAGAATATAGAATATACTTCTTTTTCTCTCTCTCTCTCTTTCTTTCTCCTTTCTATGTGACTCTCTATCTTTATTCTTGGAGACAAAACTCCATAGTTTCTCTTCTCAGTGCAAATGGGGGTGGGTAAGGGCATCTCCCTGGCACCAGCCTCCTTGGGAGTCCAGAGGAGAGAATGTAGGGTATGGGACAATGGAGTAGAGGGCCACCAAAGGACTCATCCTGCCCCACTAAGGGATTCCACAGGGAGGACAGAGGATTTGGCCACCACTGCCACCAGGCAGCTACCTGGAAACAGAGAGAAAGACCTGTGAGGGTCCAGTGACCCCATCTTGCCCACCCAGCCCAGGCTATTGCCACACTTACTGGGAACCCGACGAAATGGGCCCTCCTGGGGTAGAGCCATTGGGCATCTCAAGGGTCTGGGCACTGTAAGGGGAGAAAGGAAGCCTGGAGGTTACTTCTTGCCCTACCAGCCTTGCTCCATCCACCCAACACTGCCCAGAGAGACTAACTCACCTCTGGCTTTGGGGAAGCCCCAAATGTTCTGGGCTCTTTTTCCCCTCCATGGCCTGAGGAGACTGGTGGGCCTTGAAGTCTAGGACAGAGGTAGAGGGGTCTCTGGTTGCACTGTGAGAGAGATCAATTTGACTACTGTTAGATATTCCCATATTCCTGCCTGCCTGAGGCCACCTATCTTTCCAGAAGGGGCCTCAGGTGAGGGCACAGCTGGGCAGCAAAGACACCTCAGAACAGAAAAGCTTACACACATACTGAGGGCAGAGCATAGTTGGGCTGCAGAGACACGGGGGGAAAAACCACACCTTATCCCCAGCTACTTTCAGTGGTCATCCTCCTGCAGGATATGCTTGTGGGGCTATGCACAGTCCTGCTTCTTGTGGTTCCTGACCCTCTCGGAAGCTGTTCTTCCCTCAGGGGTAACAAAAGCCCTTCTATGTGCCATTGCCCAAAACATGTAATTACAAAAAGGAATGGCTGCAGGGATATAGGAGCTCAAAGTAGAGTTTAGTGCTGAGGACAGCTAGGGACAAGAGCCCAGCACCCACCTCGACAAGGAGGCTGGGCTTCCCCTACCCCACCTCCAGCTGAGATGGGACATCAATGGTCACCTGTCCAAGGAACTGGGGGCAGAGCGCATCCCATGCAGTGTGGCCTGGACATCCGCAACACTAACCAAGGCCTGGCAGGGGGCTGTGGAAAAAGAGATGGGCCACATCTCAGCTGCCACCTTCCAGCAAGCTGAGACATGGCTGTGCTGTCTTCATACATGTGGGCCTGAGGCAGAGTCTAGAGCCTGTATGGGGAAGGTATGGCTTAGCTCACCCAAGGGCTCTGCTACTTTGCTGCTATCTGTGACTTCCTGAGGTGCTGAGGGGTGTGTGGGGTCCTGAGACCTAGAAGGTAAAGGAGGAGCTTGAAGGGATGTCTGTGGCCAACTCCCAAGCCTAAGAGACCCAGGAGTGCCTCCCAGACCAGATGCCAGAACAATACCGGCCTGCCCTGCCCTGTCCATCCACACCTGAGCTGTGAGGAATCGTGGGCTGGAGGGCTAGACAGGATCTGAACAGAGGACATGTCTGCCTCCTTGGAAACTGGGGGACCTGTTGGGGCATCCGTAGGCACTGGGTCAAAGGTAGCAGTCCAACTCGGGCCTGTGACAGAGGTGAAAGAACATGGACAAAAGGTGAACTCAAAACAGAAACGCCATCTACGCCTGAGCATAAGCCATCCCACACTCACCAGGAGGCTGAGTGCTAGGGCTGGGGAAGGAGGAAGGGTTGGTTCTTCCACAGGCTGCCTGGTCAGCTCCCTCATCCTCATCCTCTTCCTCCTCATCCTCCTCATCCTCCTCACTGTCTGTGCTTCCTCCACTCCTGCCGCAGATACCAACTCATTAGGTGGCCATGTAGGGACAGCCGATGACCCACTTCCCCAACCACAGCCCAGGACCACAGATCAGATGACAACAAAAGAAGATGGGGAACAAAGGCCTCCAGGGAGGTCCGGGGAGCCCAGGAATGTGAGGGTGCTAGAGTAGCTAGCCACCAAGTGGAGTGTGAGTCACCTGAGAACTAGACTCAGGTACAACAACAAGAGTTGAGGCACCAACTCTCAAGTCACCCGTCACCAGTACCAACAGACACACAAGCCTTTCCACCTTTCCACCTGTGACCACTTACTGTGTGCAAGAGTGGCATTGAGATGTTTACAATCTGGGACTTGGGCAATTGTCTGGGTGACTTTCTTAAACCAGCTCTGTGAGGTTTTGGGGATCTCATTAGAATAAAGTAAAGAAAGGAAGAATATAAAAACACAAAAAGCATAAAGAGGGTGTGGAGGTGCATGCCTATAATCCCAGCACTCAGGATGATCAGAAGTTCAAGGTTATCCTCAGGTACACAGCAACTTCAAGCAAGCCTGGGCTACATGATAGTAAGTCTCAACAAAACAAAACAAAACAAAATCTTGGGAAGAAAAAAAAAAAAAAGGCAGAGGGATTTCTTTTAAGACTAATACTAGATGTGTTGTACTCTGTAAGGCAGCTGCTCTGTCACATCTGGGTACACATGAGGAATCTAATCAAAATAAACAAAGACAAAAAAAGGACAAAGACACAAGCACAAGCACGTTCATCACAGCACTATTTCCAATGCTGTTACAGCATCAGCCTCAGTGTCCATCGGCAGAGCACTACACAAATGTGATCTACACACAAAGACTCTGAGTTGTACTCAGCCATAAAGTATGAAATTACATCATCTGCAGGATAACACGATGTTCGGGGAAATAAGCAATAGTTTTAAAAAACATAAACAAACGGCAGTTAGTTGGGAAGAGAGTAAGAAGGGGTAATAACATGCATTAAAATGTTGTTTTAAAAAATCTACCATTTTATACAACAAAACTATCCCAACTTAAGTGTATGTATGAGTGCACTAGCAAGATGGCTGAGCGATAAAGTCACTTGCCACCAAGTCTGAACACCTGAATTCAACTTCTGGGACCCAAACTGGAGGACAGAGCTGACTCCTACAAGTTGTCTAAACCATGGGTTGTGGCACACACCTGTAATCCCGGCCTCAGAACATTTTAGTGATAAGAATTTCAGACACAGGATCCACCCTTCCCCTATATTGTATGACTATAAAGAGTAGGGAAAGATACAAAACTGATTCATGGGAAGACGTCAGGACACTGTTACTCATGGCAGTGAGGCAGCAGCCATGTGGGGGCACCAAGAGCTCGGGTGCCGCCGCCGCTGGCTCTAGATGCTGACCGTGTGCGTCCATTCCACTGCAAACCCAGGGTACACACATTCATCTGTATGCACACTATACAAATATAAAATTAACATCGGTAACTGGTTTTCAATCATGTCATGAGGTTAAAGCTTAGGAGACAGGCCATACATGAGGAGGTGTTTACCTCAGGGAAAGGCCTGATATGACATAATCTCATCATGCTGTCAGACAAAAAAAAAAGAGAGAGAAAGAAAAAGAAAAAAGAAAAGAAACAAAGAAAAAGACTTATCTATACAAAGCTGATGAACAATGTAACTGAAAGAGATTTCTCCTCTCATTTCAGAAAAAGGAAGGGAAACTTGTGTGGCACATTGGAACTCAGGAGCACAGTTGAATGAGCCCTCTTCAT